GATCTCTCAACATGAAGCCATTTTTTAATATACTGCAATAATATTCAAGAAGCCACAGTGACATACTCCAAGCATTCTGGAGCTGCTACTTGACAAAGATCACCGTGATCAGATGACTTGAACTGACCCTTTACTTCGGCCACCATTTGAATTCTGATTATACAGATGGTGATGTCAAGTGTCCTGGAGCTGCTGCTTGACAAAGATCACAGTGCTTGGACATCTTGCACTGACCCTTCACCATCCTTGCTGGAAGTTGCTTCACAACTCTTGTTAAGGGCCCCTTATGGAAGCCTTGTACTGGAACAATGTAACAATTCTTGTGAAAGGTAATGTTAAGAATAAAACTTATGGTGACTTCCTGGGAGAATTAGCTGTATAAGAAATTGAGTCTTCTATGTAAATTATTACGTAAGTGGTACTAATGAGCATGAGATATAGAATCTGCAACAAATCATTTAAGAAAAACACTTAGAGAAATTTAAGAAGCTAACAAATTATGGCTGTATCATTAGGTTTCTGTGTTTTGCCTCAGAAACATAGAATTAGTATGAACAAGGAAAAGATTCTTTATCACAAAGTTAATGACAGGCCTTGGTATCCTCCTGAAGGCAAATAAAACAGTTTTAGGAAGCTTGGTGTTCTTCTACTCTTTGTAGAATTGTAATAACAATAGAGACCATATTAAAACAAAAGTTTATGGCAGAAATATGAAAGAGAAACATCTTGGCTCAGTCATCTACCTGGCTTCCTGAGCAGACTTGTCAGATCAGGATTCCTTGGATTTCGGAAAGAATAAAGAGCAGAACAATGTTGCATACTTGGGATACTTTTAATATTTGTACAATTTGGGGAAATCAGATTGATAGGAAATTTCTTATGAATCATTTATGCCTTCTCCCAGGAATGCTATCCATAAGCTTCCCAGCATACTCCTGAACATACTATTCCCCCCACCACTTTAGGGAGATATCCTTATCTACTTGAAGGTATTCCTTAAGTCTTGGAGGTTTTGACATATACAAAGAAGCCAGAGGTCGCTTATTAGGCTATGAAACACTCTTAAAATATCTGACCCTGTACTTACTTATGCAACAACAAGATATCCAAAACAAAGTAACTCAAAAAGGTCAACAAGATTTGGTAAGCTAGAGAATGGGCTGCAGTTCAGATTACAAGTCTCTTCCCACTATACACTCAGAAAATTATGTGTCGTATACAACAACAAGGTTAGACTAGCTAAAGTTACCTCTGCCCTACACAGAACAAAGAATGAAGTGGGAAGACAGTAAAAGAATAATGTGTTAGTACCTCCTTTTCTTAGAAAAGTTGGCACAAGTAGAACCACTGTGGTGTCCTAAGATATGGAACAACAGAATGCCAGGATTAGACATATAAACAAAATCTATAAAGACATAAAATGTAAACATTGTATTATGCCAGAATTTGAATAATAACTGCAGCATCTTTGGACTGGGGATATTTCTTGGGCGCTCTGACAATTAAGAGTTAATAATGCACTGCTCAGGACATGGAAGTATACCAAGGATGTCCTGAAGATTGTTTTGGTCTAGTGCCGTTGTACCTACAAAAGTGACCAACATGAGAACAGGCTGTAATATGCCTTTAGATTTTTTAAAATTGGGTTATAGAGTTGAGTAAAAATGCTTACAAAAGATAACTGTTTATCGATTATGTCAAAATTTGAAGGAAAATGATTGGAAATGATAACTCTGTTATGTCATAGTTTATTAATGATGACTAAAATATGAACAAACACATGTCCAAAAACAAAAATGATATGATCTATGTTTTGGAACAACATGAATGTAACCTCACTTACTAAATTTTGTATAAGTAAAGAAACATTCTGGCAGCTAGTCAGTCAGGCAGCAAGATTCTCCTGACCACCATGGCCTGGCTCATTTCCTTCCCTTACCTATTCCTTACATCCCATGCTGGGACCTGTAACTCTACAGGGGATGTGCTTCTCTGTCCTTCTCTCCTAAACTAAATCTAAGAAGTGACCATGTCTTATTCCTCCCATCGACACTCTTGCATACACATATCTTTAGACCCTGCCTTCATACAGATCTGAACTCCAGAAACATATTACAACAATACTCAAAAAGCTTTTACTTTCAACCTCTGGGAGGTGGCCAAAGGCAAGGGCATATAATGACTGGGGAGTTGCTTGAACTCACCTGAACAATAACTTGAAAGAAATGGTACAGGGATTCATATAGTTCTTCATGGGAACAAGCAATCTCTCTCTTAATTAGTAACCCATAACTATTAATCTAATCTACATATCTGCATGTGGACTTATTTTACCAGAGAATACCCGGTATACTTTATTTATTGATCTCTAGGTTGTACAGCATTTATGCTACATTTTTATCCTACATGTTTGTTTTGGCTTTTGCTACATGCCGGAATCAGGCCTAAATTATATTATGTCCTCTCTCACAAATGCTGTGTATGTCTTATAAACAGTAAACTTCCAATAAATCTCTGGATACTCTGATGGCTGACCTTTGATTTAAATTTCATCTTAGCTACTCATAAACGTTTGAATAAAAATCTACAAAGTGGTTAATATTCTGAGTAATGACTTGAAAAGCATCACAATTTTTATATTTTAATGGCAAAGGTGATTCATAAATAATAAAAAATACTTTGGAATGGTAGGTAGCAAATTTTCTATGCTAATGATAAAGACTGATAAAATCTAAAAGATGTGAATTTTCACAAAGCAATAATACTATATTTATTTATTTTCTTTGGTAAGTCTAATGGATCCCAGGGTGGCTTCAAACTCAATATGTAGACAGGAATGACAGATGTGAATTTTCACAAAGCAATAATACTATATTTATTTATTTTCTTTGATAAGTCTAATGGATCCCAGGGTGGCTTCAAACTCAATATGGAGACAGGAATGATCTTGAATGTCTCATCTTCTTGCCTACACTACCTATGTCTTGGAATTTACATGTCTGGTAAAGAAAAGTGTAACTTTTAAATCAAAAAATTCATTTAAAACATGTATTAACATAACAAAAACTCTAAATAGAATTATTTTCAATAGGGGAGCATTTGCATAAAGCATATCTGTGGTGATTAGAAATGTGGCTATATTTTTGGACATCATTCACAATATGAGACCTAGTTTCTCTCCACCTGAGTATGAATTATATCTCATGTCTCTACTCTTTAGGACAACAGGAGTGACTATATATTACCCTGAAGACAAGGTAATAAAGGCTTCTGCTTAAACCTTCCTTGGACATCCTCTGTGGGGAAAGCAGGGTTTAGGTTGTGAGTGTGAGTAGATGCAGGTGGGTAAATACAAATGCCCATGTAGTGGGTGAAAGACTGAGGCCTCCTCACAAGTGGCCTACAATGAGCCATGGTGCAAACACAAGCCCCACCAATGGACTGCTGTGCACATTACAATGTAACAGCAATACCCTATTAGATCGTGGGCTAAGAACCCCATATAAGCCACCTCCAATCTTCCTGACCTCATTTGGCCATCAAAAACTATAAATTCTGTTATAAGCTGCCAATTTCCATAGTAAGTTGTTGGAGTACAATAAACATCAAATATTATACTATAGAGAGAACAGAGAACCTAAGGACTCACAAATGATGGAAATTAAGATACCCATGGCAGACAATGTAGTGACATATGTAAGGGGGTTAGGAAACCAGTTGACTTATATTTGCTTGTTTCATATCATGGGCAGTCAGATATTGTACTCCTACATAACACCCTGTTTCGTCCTGATAAGTCATTGAGTAAGTATGCTACCTAATTCTTCATTAAACCAGTTGGGTGAAGGTTTTAAGTAAATCGGTCAGTTTACATCAGAGTGAATAAATGGATATTACTTCAGAGTGGCAACAACCTGAAGTTGTGGTCTGGAGATTGCCTGTCTCTGTAGATATTACCTAGAGTCCTGCCTTCCCCTACTTTCCATGGTGCCACTACTATGCCAATTGCCCTGTGCTCAGCTCTCTTGAAAATATAGACATAAAGTGAAGATTGTACTAGACACCACACAAAAGTAATGAAGAAAATGCTATATAGAGAAAGCTTAACTTAGAACTTCCAGCGAACTGGTCATTATACAAACTAATCCTGCAGTTTTCCTAAAGATACTGGATATCATAAGAGATGGTGAGGTTCTAGTTACACGTCCAAAATTGCCAGTAGTGAATAGTTCCTTGATCACATCTCTCCCATTGTAAAATTGGTGTACAAAAATCTATCTCTTATGACACCATGATTAATTTAGTCAATAAATAAAATACTTCAAACACTGTCATGTACAAATTAAGAAGGATTTCAATGTCAATTGTTATGCTAACTATTTCAGTAAATGTATCTAAAATAAGAGCTGTATTTTTGAAATTATGTAATGTGAAACTCTAAATGATGAAGCAACCCCAAAATAAAGAATAAATACTGTCACTGCTTTAATTAGTTACACATATAGCGTTTTTTTTCAAAACAAAGAATATTTAAAATGTGTAGAAAATTCTGGCTCAAAATCATTTTATGAATTTATAGTTTTCATTCTGACACTTTGAAACATAGCTCAATGGCTACTTTCTCTCTTGAGAAATGAAGAGCCGTGAACAAAACACACTTTCTCTGGATGCAAAGGAAAGGAGGGAATAAAGCTAGAAAGAAAAGCACAATGTGTAGGCTTCATTAAATACATGAAGTAGAAACAGGCCATCTCACGATAACTAATTGAGATGGTTCAAACAGGCACAGAGTACATGGAGCAGAAAAGATATATCAATTTAGCAAACCAAAAATGGAGAAAGCACAGGCATAATCTAAAGAGCACTGATGAAGATACAAATCTGAAAGTCAGTACATTCACACAAATTCAATAACATAACCATTAAGTCTCTTCTGAAGAAAGACAGATACAGGCAGTGGGGCTGAAGCAACTGCAAAAAAAATCAGAAAGGAATTTCTCCTATTCCTTACACCCTGAAGGCTGTGCCACAGCAGCCAGCACTTTCTTCAAGGCTAATTTCACATCTTTGTTTCTCAAAGTATAAATCAGAGGATTCAAGGAGGGAGTGATAACGTTGTTAAAGACCTGGATAACAGAATCCAGCCAGGGACTAGAAGCAGGTCTGAGATAAACAAGAATCACAGGACCATAGACCAAGGTGATGGATGTCAGGTGGGCACTGCAGGTGGAGAAGGCTCGGCGCCTGCCTTCTGAGGAACGGATTTTCAAGATGGCGATGACAATACGAGTGTAAGAAGTGATAATGAGGAGAAAGCACGTGAGTGCAACAATGCCAACGTTGGTAAAACTCACAGTCTGTGCTAGAGATGTGTCTGCACATGCCAGGGACAGCACCACAGGAATGTCACAGAAGAAACTGTCCACCTCATTGGGCCCACAGTAGGGTAATTTAAAGATAAGAAATGTGAGGATACTTCCATGTACAAAGCCCCCCAACCAAGTGCCAACTGTGAGGTAGGTACACACCCTGTGGTTCATGATGACTGTGTATCTCATAGGGTGGCAAATAGCCACAAAGCGGTCATAGGCCATAACTGTATACAGGAAGCATTCAGTGCCACCCAGAGTGTGGTAAAAGAAGACCTGAGAGACACAGCCCTGGTATGAAATGGTGCAACTCTGCCCCACTAGGCAGTCCATCATCTTAGGAGAATTCA